TTAAAAATTTATAAAGCTTAAACCGTTTTTATGAGAGTATATTTTATAAATGCTTAAGTATCTAGGCTGTCCAATAACAGCTAGCGCGTAAAAAAAAAAAAAATATTATTTTTCCCAAGCACAAGTATATCACGAGTATTGTAACTTACCCGCATTTACTAGTTCCACAATAAGCGACTTCTCGTGATGTCATGCTAGTTTGTAAATATTTTCGAGCTTCTTTAAGGTAAATCCAGAATTCACTGGTTTCACCAAAATCTTTACGAACTTTATCTACTGCATCACGATCAACCATTATTAGAGAATACATGGACTTTTCTTGTTCAAGTCCATCTTTAGATATAGTAGAACCACATGAATTATATGAAAGGAATGGAACATAAGCTTCTGCGGGAGAGCTTTCCTTTTTTTCAAGTCGAAGTTCATCACCCATTTTTTGCCAAAATTCGGCTTCTTTTCCTCCATTTTTTCCATTCCAATAAAATACTGGTCGTAACCAACGTCTACATACTTCTTTACCAAATTTAGAATATGCCCATGATGTTCGAACAACGAGAGCATATACCGGATTGGTATTTGGTCCTCTGTGCCAAATCAACGGATTGCATTCAAGCCAAGTGGGTTTCATACTTGAATGATCACAAAGAGAAGGAAGATGTGCTGTTATCGAATGAAGATATGCGCTAACGACAGAGGTAGGCATTAGGAACGTAAATGAGTAAGAACTTGTAGGAGAAGGAAGAATAGTGTGTGGATAAGGTGGTGTTATTTTACAATGCATATCTTTATCGAAGGGTGTATTGTTTGGATTAAAGTTTGCATAAGCTTTTAGAGTCTCCTGTAATGTTGCTTTGCGAGTTCATACATCGTGTAACTCTTGCTGCACGACAATGTCCTTCAGTGTGGCATGATCCAAAAGCAATTTCCCATCTTCTTCAATCTTTAACAGAAAATATTAAGTAGCACAATCTCGATATCGGACATTTAAACATGATCAAATTTAGATCATAAACAAATATTGAACTTAAGGCCCTGTACCATCGAAGTATAAAACAAGTTACAAAACAGGATTTCAAAATCAAAGTTTTCATTTCCG